AAAAAAGAAAAAAAAAACATCAGAATGCAGTAAGTTTTCCTTATTTTCTCTACAATTTTTATAGTGCAGAATCTTTTAGAGGAGTAGCCAAAGGGAATAAATGGATTAAAGTCACAGCTTTCCATTGTTTCAGTTGTAACTGAAACAAAATGAAAAGTGATACAGAAAACATCCAAACTCCCTTCAGAGCAACTTTTGCTGCACCAACAAAGTTGATGTTTATTTAAATATTGAAGGGTGGATAACAGAATAAAATTACCTAAAGCATTTTGTTGCATGTTGACACAATCTTAGTTAACTCAATATCAACAAAACTCAAACACACATGAAAAGAAAAGCAGTTTAAGAGAGACTTTAAATAGAAGGAATAATAAACAGCATTTATGTAAAGAAGATGAAGAAATTTTTTTTTAGGATTTAAATGTATTTAACGCCCTAAACAATGTTGGTTTATTTACAAATCCCTTATAAATTCTAGGTGTGGGGAATGTGTTGATATATTGAGGGAACTTGAAAGGGAAAACAGAGAAAACATTGGAAGTAGTGTGACTGTATCACCCATAAAGCTGTGCCATAAATGTACAATTCTAACATTCATGGCATCATAAATCAGAATTATATTGATATTGAATTAGGATGATGGAAAGTAACAGGGGTGAATTAGTATGGGTAGAATGAATTAGTCAAGATGGTAACAAAATAATGGAAAAGTAGGAACATGGAAAATATGATGCCTCCAATAGTTAGGTAATGTATTGAAAAGCAGAGCAGATGAAAATTGTGTATATACATACATTAAAAAATTCTCACAGTTGCTGCCAGGAATCTTAATTTTGCCCAGAGCCATGGATTATTAATAAAATAGCCCAATCTAAACAAAAATAAATCCATTGTGTTTGGAAGATGAAAGAATTATAAATTGTTGAAAAATACCATTTCTCTGAATTGAGCAGCATCCAAGTCAATTTTATAAGCAACAGCTGTGAAAAAATTTGCATGGCAAAAAAGAAAAAAAAAAAGAAAAAAAAGGAAAAAAAAAGAATTCAGAAACAAAAGCAACCACACAGTTGGGGAATAGATGTTCTGGGCTGTTGCTCTCCTGTCTGCCAGAGCAAATATTTGGTGTCAACACGGACAAATAAATATTGTGTGTCTGAGTCACCATTTCAAGCACAGAACTGCTCAGTCAATGACAATGTGTATTAATAGGATTGCAATTCTTTCCCGGCATTTTCCATGTATAAGCAAGAGCCTTCAGGAAAAAGAAACAATAGAGGCTGTCCATGTGTAAAATGTGAGGCGAGGGTTTTGGGCTGCCATCAGTGTTGCACATTTTTACTATTTAGATGTGTACTTCTTAAGGTTTTTAAAGAGGTGCCTCTGCTTGAATTAAGGTGCAAATGAAGTCAATAGTGTGGATTTTTTTAATAGTAAATGTGAAAGATTGAGAGAGAGAGAAACAGAAAAAGAGGTGGTGAGAGGGGAGAGAAAGAGAGTGGCAGAAACAGAATAAATTGAAAATATCACCACTCCATGGATCCTAAGTAGCTGTTTTTTTCTTGTTGTTGTTGAATAGTAGTGGGCAAATGGCTTAAACAGTTGTACATATTCCACAATGATTTTATTCTGGTTTTTTTTTTTTTCTTTTTTTTTTTTTTCTTTTTTTTCTCTTCCCAAGCCTTCATTACAGCACTTGGTGCTCTCTGGTACCAGGCTGATGAAGGAAGTCATTGCTAAACTCTCCAGAATGCTTTCACTTTCCATTTTATGGCCAGTCTGCATTTATATTTGACAATTTTGGTTCAAGAAACCTGTCCATGTTGACTGGGTCAGCAATTATTTTCTGGTAAAATGAGTTCAGAATCAGTATAAATTCATAAATTCATAAATTCATAAATTCAATTTGGCTTCCTGAGTCTGCAAAATGACAAATCTCTACTTTTGGTGGTTTAATGATTTACAGAAGCAAGTAAAATCACAAGAAACAGGATTTTCATGCACATGGCACAGCAAAACAAACAACTTCACCAACAAATCAAGACCAAAACACTCTCACAGGGATAGTCCATCTTTGTTAAACTTCGGGGTTACATTCTTAAACAGGAAAAAAGCAACATTTTTTTCCTCAATGAAAATTATACTAGCACATTTTTTTTAATCTCAGGAGAGAATTCCTTTATCCTACTAGCAATTGTATGCCATCCTTTTTCTCTTGCATAAGCTTGTGAAACAAAGCATTTTACATAGAAACCTGAACATATGACACCAGAATAGTATCAACAAAGTTATGAATATAAAAGAGTTTGACAGAGGAAGCAAAGGGCAATTTCATAGCACTTCATTATTTACATGGGTGTCTACAGCATCTTTCCAAAACAAGGAAGAAGAAGTGCAAGTCTAAATTTGAAGAAGCAAAACGGCTCTGTTTTTTTTCTGCTATATAAAATCTTCAGTGTTTTCCTCAGTCCTGTGGGGCCCAGGACTGAGAAATCTATTCTCAGATCCCCACACTCCTTAAAGACTGAAACTTAATGAACTGTATTCCATAAATACAGTGTTTTTTTCCCCAAGTTTTCCCCCATCCTTTGCAAGTGATGCTCTCTAACAGTTGTATCATCCCAATCCCTTTCTGAACACTGAACAGGAATTATCCTGAATATTCCTCACGTATTTTGGAGCCTATTCTGCAAGGAAATGAACTCTCCATCTATTCCCAGGATTTTCACAACTTTCCTACACAGTTCCCTGCTCAGGCCATCTTGAGCAGTTCAGCCCAGCCTCAGACCTCAGGGTAACAGAGCTGCACATTTGTTTGCCATTCATGGAAAGCATAAACAGCTGAGGCTTCAGGAAGTCTATTCACAAGCACGAGAGCCTGACAATATTGGGTACATGTGGACATTTCTGAAGCTTCCGGCAGCTAATCCAGAGCTTTCTGGAGCTTGCCTAATCCAGAGCTTTCTGGAGCTGTTACAGAAGCTTCACATTTTTACAAAATAATCTGTTCCTTTCCATTACCCCACACTCCCCTTGCTACACGGATTTCAGCCTGGGCTCATCCTTATTTGTGCAGAGGAAATTAAGATGAGGAGTCAGGGGCTGCTTTTAGCACTTTTGCAGAATCCTAACCTTTTCCTGAGAAGTTCTTTAAGAACTCTTTTGCCATGTCTCTACAGCCTTTAAGTTTGTTTGAATACAGATGGGATATAGGAACAGTTTCTTAGAAATTAGTGTCCCCAACTCTCTCCATAGGGACAAAACCCCTGGCATATTTGTTCTGGTTATACATAATTGCCTTTGATCCGTATTAATCACAGTTCCTCTAAACGTTTTTATCTCGCAGATCACTAATTTCCTCTAATTACAGATTTTCTGAGGGCTCTCAAAGTGTTACCTGTAATTGGCAGAAACAGGAGTGGAAAGCTGGGCAGCTCCTTTGCCATTGCCTTTGTGCTGGGTAGAGGGCCCATCCCTCACCCCACACAAAGCACTGAAACTCCTTTATTTCAGCCATTTTTCAGGATTAGGAGATGGTGGGGTGCAAGGATGTCCTTACAGTCCTGTCCTTCTGCACTGATGTTAGGGCTCGTGCAGACTTGGAGCAGCCACCTCCTGAAACAACTCCTGGGGGAAAAAACCTCTGTGCCTTACAGGACAATTCTTCATTCCTCTTTCAAAAACAAGGTGAGAATGGCAATGTTTTATTATTGCTTGCAGCCATGATGAATGTGACAACAACTTCCCCTTTTTGGAATGTCAGTGAAGAGGAAATAAAGCTTTGTGGGGACCACAACCACCACATTTAGGGGCTCTGGCAAGGTCTCAGAGGAACTAGAAGCATAAGTATGTCAGATATTCACAGTGAAGTTTCTTTTGAGAGGAGCTGGCTGTCTCTAACATGAACAGTTAGATTCAGTAACAATGCCTGTTGCACCCTTTAGGGCAAAAAACTTCTCCTGGTGCTTTTGCTCTAAATAAATTTCAATCAGATACAAATATTCCTTCCTTCTTGACCTACAACACTCCTTTTTGAATCTAAAATCCAAGGCTTGACTCATAAAATTGACACCTTATTTGGTTTAAAGAACACAGGTGTTTGATTTTGCTTAAAAGTTTTTAAAGTTGCTAAAGATTTTATGTAAACACAGCTGTAACCTCAGGTGAAAAAAAACCTCATCATATATCAAAGCATCCCAGAAAAAAGATAAAATCGCTGATATTTATGTTGAAACTGCAGATAGGGAAATGTTAGTCTTTTCTGTACAGGCAATTTAACATATAGGCACAAGAACACACCTAACACTAAAATTTCAATTTAAACTCAGATTCCCTTTGCATAAAAATTGAATTTTAGGAAATTAAATCCCACTGCAGGTGGGAATGAGGTTTCTTGGCCACCACATAGGATGTAAAGTAGGTGCTGACATGTGACTCACAGACTTAAAGAGTGGTAACATTAAAACTTATTTTACATTTCTGAATATTCTGAAGAGAAAGACATCATGCATTGAAGCCTTCAAAGTACCTTTATGATGAAAGAATGCACAGCTTCTTTAGAAAGGGGCTTTTTATGATTTAAGGCCTGTTTTCTCTTTGATAGTCAATAAGACTGAACTGCTTCTGAAGCATTTCCTCATTTCTTTTTAAGTGAAGGCAACTGGCTGGAGCCAACTCTTCATTTCTCCTAAACAAGCCACTCTAAGAAGATTCTTAAATGAATGTAGAATCCCAGAGGCAGGAAAAAGCAGGGAAGATTAGAGAGAGGGGTGTACTCTGAAGCACTACCTTTTCACACTAAAAAAGCTGGATTGAAACTATAAATGTTTAATTTTTGCATTAAATGATTTTAAAACTTTATATATGAAGCTTCACCAATTGCCGGAGTGCATTGGAAGAATTTTTTCCATTGTCTTCAGGTTTCACTCCATAGGCTGTGTGTGACCTCACATCTGTTTCCATACTGAGTTGCCATGGAGCTTCCTGGTGATGGAAATCTCAAACAGGCTGAGACAGAAAACATGCACGTGGATCAGAATCCTGGAAAAAGTGACTGGATACCTTTTGACTTCCACTGGATAGAGCAGAATTAAAATGAAATCCAGCAAAAAGGTACATGCATGCTCGCCTGGTGTTGAAATTAAAGCAAGGAAAGGGGATATTTGCTGAATAAGAATATGGCACATGAAATTATACTCTTATTTATGTCAGTGGAAGGTCTAGCCCAAAAAGAACGCCTATTTGTTAAATAAATTCAATCATAAGTGGCAGAACTTCACACTACAGTTTTAGAGAACAAAGTCCCTCCTTTTTTCACTGTCTCTAATTGTACAAAAACAATACTACTCATGACAGGAAAAAGTGCTCACAGTACATGAAAATGAAAATGTTAATTCTGAGATGGGCAACAGTGAGGCCTGAAATCAAAAGTCTATCTTTGAAAAATACTGAGGTATTTTTGTTGCAGCAACAAGTCAAGAGGGTAGGGAATAAGGAAGGAAAGGAATTTAATGTCTTATTTACATCCAGGATTTTATCTTCTATTCTGATATCCCTTATTAAATCCACAAACAGATGCAACCATTTTATCAGTTTCTGTGTAAGACCTTTGTTCTAAACCAAGTTCAGACAAAAGATGCCTGGGAGAAAGTGCATTTCCATTTCCATTTCCCAGGGAGGATCAGACCACTGAGATTTCCTCCTTCATTCCTCCTCTTGCTGGAGACTGGGAATGAAGGAAGCAGCAAGACCTAACACCACCTCCTAGGATCCTGCAAACTGCTCTTAACTGGATGCAAATTCTGCCTCAATCTGCCTTAATTCTGGTTTAATTACAGCCCTAAATGCTGGCCTTGCTTCAAAGGAGCTCTCCAAAGAGCTGGGCTGAGTTCTGAGTGTCCCACCTTGCAGAGCATCCCCACAAAGGATGAAGGATTTATGGGTCTGGATCTCACCCAAACCAAATTTGGAAGGCACCACTCAAATTTGCTTTGAACCCTGCATTTCATGCAAACCTGTTGAAAATCCAGGTGAATCAAAACCGGTGCAAAAACCTGTTTCTGTATCCTCTTGTGAACCTACACTAATTCAGCATTTCAAATCCATATTTGATAAATTCACGTGGTTCTACAAGGCCAGGGACCTGACCCTATAAAGGCAGAGGCCTAACTTGGTCATTTTGGAAAGAAATTCAATAGGAAACAAAACTGCAATGCAACATCTTGTCTAACACCAAAACTGTGTTTAATCTTTGTCTAAGGACAAGATTGTTTTCCTTTCCTTTTTTCTTTGTCTGTCAGGATTTTACTTTGATGCAGAATTGATATTTGAACGAGAGCCAACTGAAAATGAGAAGTTATGTGGTATGAATATCATAATCTTTGATGAATGAAAACTTCAGTGGATGCAAATCATGCTTTAAAAGGTATTTGAAAGAAAGAAACAAACAAAAATCATCTTGATATGCATGGGCCCAAAAATGTGGAAGATTCATAGAATTTGTTAAAGCATTTTCCAGTAGGATGACTCCTTCTTTATCCCTATTCCACAAAGAGTTACTGGGAATCACTTTCTTTATATTTTTTAATTCAGATTGTGACCCTCTTTTCCTCCTCTTTCTTTTCTGTTTTCTCTGTCAGATGGAATCTCATCCTGCAAATCTTTATATTGCTTTAATATAGATTGGAGTGAGCTTTACTAAAGAAGAAGCAGATTGCTGAACTCTTTTTGGAGTAAGTTCCATTAGCACTTAATCCAGCTGCCATGTACTACATCATGATGTCACCCAGAATATAATAAGAAAGACTAAAATGTGAATATTTTTACACTCTATGTTTTCAAGGCTGCAGCCTTGATGGCTTTAGCAGACTCATTATATTTATTACCTCTGATATTACTTTAGCTGCCTAGAGCTGATTTAAAGTCAGTATTTGGAACTGTATTTTCTAATATCAGGAAATGTGCTAAAGCCTCTTTCTTTCCATATCACACTCTGTAATTTATTGCTTTGTTTCCAGCCTGTCTGATATTGACAAATACTCTACAAATTCTGAATCCAGGGACCCAAATATACTCTGTTATGTTGACCAAACAAGAAAAATTTGGCCTAATGCTGTTATTTTTATTTGCTGTGTGAATGTTCTACTTAAAATATTTTAGCAGCAAAAAAAATTTTGCCTGCAGCTCTTCCAAATATCTTGATAAAATTGATGTTAAACTTGGTTTCTGCATGGTGGCAGAGCTGGATCAGATCCCAGGGTATTATCAGGAAAGAAACTGCAGTGGGAGGCATTTTAAAAGTTGACTCTCCGAGTAAAAGATATTTAAGAGTTCACCTGCACAGTGAACACAGCAAAACCTCAGGAAATGGCATCCACAGGTGCTGCGTTCCAAAACACCCCAAAGAGAGAGACACAGATTCCCTACAGGCATGGAATAAGCACTGGCACTTCTTGCACAAGTTTTTTTTTTTGACATTCCAACCCAGCAGATGCCACATAAAAGTTCCTTAAGAAAACAGTTAGATAAGATCTATTATGATGTTAAATCTGAATACAAAAATAGGTTGCCTAAGGCAACAGGAGGCAGATAATAAAAGACAGTGCGGGAGTGGCTGAAAATAGGTTTGTAGATTTAAAACAATAATTTAGAAATCTATTTATTTTTATAATAACGCTAAAGGTGGAGGAAAAAAACAAACAAAAATGCATTGGAACAATTACTGTGTTCTCTAAAGTGGGGCAGAGTCTCATAGTTTTTATCAGTACAAAATAATCCAAGATTTTGATTAAAAACTAAAACCATTCCCCTAAAGGATGGTCATGAAAATGTACCATCTTGTCTCAAAGTGCAGTGCCTTTGTCAAGAAATCTTGCTTTTAATTATCTTATCTTGTAAATGATTTTCTTTAATTTCGTTGTTGATTTTAGGGAATAGCTGTCATTTATGGCAAGGAAAATAAACTTGGTGTGTGAATGGTCTGATATTGAAAATTGAGGTTGCATTGTGGAAAGATCCATGCAGATGCTTTGCATTAACATTAACATCAGTATTCATTTAGTGAAAGCCAATACATGTGTAGAACTCTAAAGAAATGAACCAGTATAGGCAAAAGATCAAATGAATTTATGAGCTTTAGTGATGATGGAAAACCCTATTATTTTGATTTTTATTTTTAAATTTCATTTTTCAATACCTCAAATTTATTATTGTGTTTATTCCTAACCTAGAAGAGAGAAAGTGGCAAATAAAAATATTATTAAAATGTCCCAGATTCCCAGCAGATTAAACCTTTATCAGTGGAAGCGAAGAGACTACCCCAAGTGGCTTATGATGCAAACTGCTCGAGAAGAGGGTTTTAGGATAAACTTTTGGCCTTGTCCAAGTAATTGAACTTCTGTCCACCTCCTAAAACTGCACATTCTTTATGTTCAGTTCTTGAATTGCTTTGTGCTTGACCTTGTGAAGAGACACCACATAAATCTGAGCCTCTGCATTGCTGAAATCAGCAGGTACTTGTGGGATCAGGATCTCACTTGGAGGGACCTGTTCTTCCCACAAGGGGAATTATCTCCATGTGGGATATCTGAAGTAGGCTTGAGGTTGAAAAGAACATCCTGGGCAAACCATATTCCCCAGGCTGTGCAGGCACCTTGCTCTCATATGGGAGGTCTCAAAAGTCCATTTAATCAATTAGGTTTTAATGACACTGCTTGTTGGTCTAGAGGATATGGGATGGAATTCCTCACTGGATCAGAGAAGAAGAATTAATAAACATGAATTCCCAGCTAGGGTTAAACCATTACAGCATGAAGTAGCTGCAAGGTTTATGAAGGATGAGATACTAAACCATAAATTGCAGCAAGTTACCCATGGGGAGAGGCACGACCAGCAACAAACTGCTCTGCTTACTTCCCTGGGTCTGCTTCATGAGTTAGCACCAACTCCAAAGGATTTGTTCCTGTTTGTGTATTAATTGTGAAGGGTAAATAATTGATTTCTAGTTTAGAGATGCCTGTTCAATCACAAAAATTATATAATGGTTTGAGCTGGAAGGGACCTTAAGCTCAACCAGTCGAACCCCCTGCCATGGCAGGGACACCTTCCACTATCCAAAGCTCCAAGCCCTGTCCAACCAGGCCTTGGGCACTTCCAGGGATCCAGGGGCAGCCACAGCTTCTCTGAGCACCCTGTGCCAGGGCCTGCCCACCCTCACAGGGAAGGATTCCTTCCTTTTATGTGATCCTAACCAAAGCTGAAGCCCCAGGTTTGACTTAGTGAAGTGTGTTCTTAGGATGTCTGTAAAGGCTGCTTCTTCAAACCTTCCAGCTTTGTTACTCAGGGGAAGATCAAACAGCAGCAGCAACACCTTTTAGTACCACTGAACTTCTGAGTTTTCCATTGCTGCACCAAAATCAATGCACACCAATGGTGTGAAATCAAATTAATCTATTTTCCACTGAGTTAAAAAAAATGAGGTGATATAACCCTAGGTGGGCAATGTATAATTACCTTAGAAGTGTTAATGCACAGGCCACTGAATTGCAGCTTCATCTTTTGAAGGAGGCAAAACACCATTGCTTTTTGTACTTTAGTGCTAGAAATAACCTCAGCTTTAACTGCTCCCTGCTTTTCTTGTGTCCTTTTTGCCTCTAAAAGCAAGCCCACAGCTGGAACACCCCTCATCCTCCACACCAACATCCCTGCAGGACCTGCTCCGAGCGAGGCTGTGGGAAATCCAGCTTACCACGGTGGAGAGGTACCTCCCTCTAAAAGCAAGCAGCCCCTTTTGCCAGCAAGGATTCCACTAAAATGGAACCCCACTAAAATGGAACACCACTAAAATAGAACCCCACTAAAATGGAACCCCACCAAATCCTGGACGTGTGCTTTCCTTGGCTGCAGCACAGGCAGCCCACCCTGCACTTGGGAAATTGTTACAGGAGCAATTTTAGCTGCTGTGAATTGCACTGGAAATGTTTTCTATGGTCTGGCACTTCATGGGGTGGGCCCACAGATGAATGACCCACCTTTAAACTCAAGTCAGTCCTTCCCTGCAATTATTCAGGAAAAGCCCCACTGTTTTCACAGAAATCAGGAGAAATAATGTCAGTTCTGACTTCTGTGTTCTGGATGTCCATTAAGGCCACTAATGACATAAATTACTTCTATGCTAGTATGTATATAAACAGTGTCCCTAATTTCTGTTTTATCTGAGAAATCTGGATATAAATTGCTTCTAAATAGAAATATCCCTTTAAATAAATTCAAAACTGGTGGACAGAGAACATTTTTCAGTTTCCTATAAAAGAAAGGACAATGAATGTAATGACAATGGACAATCATAGGTCATCCTTTCTCTTTATGCAATTTAGTGGGGGAAAAGATGTGCAAAGTATAAAGTTAAATATTTTTCTATAGCTATTGAAATAATTGTTAAAAAACAAAATATGAACTAAATGAATAAAATCCATATTGCAGCTTGCCAAGTCACTGCATCCATAGAAGAATTAATTAAATAAATAAATAATAATAAAAAAAAACGCCAGAGGACAGCTGCTATGTTTGAAGTTTGGTGGGGAAACAGCATTTTGTGTATTTTCAATGGCTTATGTCTTTCTGAAGCCCTTTGGATGATTTATGTTAAAGATAGACTGAAGTTAGGTGGGCTCAAGCTGCCATGTGAGAACCTGTAGAGCAAAGCACAGACTTCCCTAACTCCTTAATGAGATAACTTTTTCTCCCTCCCCCAAAACTTTGGAAAATAAAATAGCAAAGCTGCAAACACAGACAAAGCAACTTACACACAAATAAATACAAGAGAAAAGTCCCTACCCAGACATCTTTCACTGCTCCAATATTGTCCTTTGCTGTATCAAATCTCACATTGCAAGAAAACACCTCAAACCCAGTAGAAAATAAAGGCATTATCAGCATTGTTCCTGTAAAAGTGTCTTGCAATAGAGGAATTAATTTCTGTTACAAGCTCACATGCTCACAGGAAAGTCTCCTGGGATATGATCTCTTGCTTCAGCACATTCCATAAAGGGGAGCAATGACAGCAGGTGGATAATTCCTGGAAGCTGTCCTGCCAAAATGAAGTTCCCCACATCATGTGAGCCACATGGGCACAAGGTTGTTTTCCCCAGTGAGAAATGCACACTCACTTCTGCAGATAAACTCCTTTTCCCCAGTGCTAAACCCACGTCAGCATCGCTCCTTTGCTCTTTTATTACACCTGCTGGAGGTCACGCTGAGCATCAGCAGCATTCCAGGGATGGACAGAGGATGGACAGACAAACTGCTGTTCAGAAACCTTCAAACTCAACTCAGAGGCACGTGAGGGACAGAGAAATTGCTGGGTTTTAAAACCTTCAAACTGATCTCAGCCTTCTCCATCCCCTCCTGCTGTCAGATGGCTCCAGCAAAACCTGATGGCTGCAGCACTGTCTGAATGCTCCCTAGAAGCAGGCACAGGATGTTTTGGGACCCTCATCTGAATGTTTGGAGCACTTGTGCACCCCTTTAATCTGCTTTTTTGGTTATCCTGCTTGCCACATGTAAACCCAGCTGGCTCACACGGGGTGTTCCTTCCTCAGCCCTTTGCAGAGTTCCCTCAGTGGGAGGCCACTTGTCAATCAAAATTAAATCCCAGCCTCATTCTCCCAATGACTCAGAGCTACCCACCAGAGACTCAAGGAAGGTCAAACGAGATTTATCCTTTACAGCTTAACTGAAAGTGTCTTTTCCTGCCAAATACCTCTGTTATGTTTATATGGCCTAGATCTCCATCCTCAGTTGTTTATTTACAGATACCAGCAGTGCCACAGGCAATTACCTTTAAACATCCTCTAGCAATGTTAGATAAATAGAAAGATATTGTGTCTGTGGGGGCTTTTTTTCTAACATTTTAAGTATTCCTTAAATGCTTTTAAAAGCTTTTTGCTCAATCAGACCCCAAGAAAAAGATGAGATTGCTTCCAATTTGAATAAGGAAGTTCTGCAGTCCATTTAGGAAAGAAGTAAGGACCACCTGACCTCTGGGCAATGTAATCAATATCCTGTTCTGAAAATAACAACTCACTGTCTGGGAATAGAGGCCAAGTTAAGGCCTTTTGTCCCTTGATTCTATGAGTATTTTAGTGAAGAACTCATTGCTAGTTTTTAATCTGTGAGACTTTCTTATGTAGCTATGGGCTACTGATATATCTGGAATACTGCTGAGAAAATACAATTTTTTTAGTTGTGGGGGTTTTCCAAATGTCACCTTTACTTTTGCTTTTAATTTCTAACAATAATGTTTATTGTTAGAAGAACATAACTTTGATACTGAAGAGTATTTACCAACTTAGAATGATGGATATTTAAAAAAATTCATAGTTGCCTGTCACAAATCTTAAAGATTTAATCCAAGCAATCATTTATAGTTTTATCTTTTATATATAAAGGGTAAAAGAGGAAAAAACCTTGATAAAGAGTTTATCCCTGTTGTCATTCAACCCAAAGAGAGTTTTCTGTTACTGAAAGCAGGGAAAACAAATAAACCTGGAATAATAGTGCAGTGATCCAATAAGATTTTGGAGATTAGATGAGGATTTCACTGAGCTACTTGTATATTGAAGTTAGGCAATGTTGGGTAATGAATACTAAAAGTTATGTATTGATTTTGTATTATGTTTGATTTCAAAGGAAGTAATAATAAATCCAAAGTTTGAATTCACACAGGGCCAGATACACTTGCAATCTTCTTTCAGAAATCGGATAAACTACGGCACGGAGGAATTATTTTCTTAACTGAAGGAAAAATTAAAAAAAAAATAAAAAATCTTTCTCTGATTGTTGAGGAACTTAGGAAAGTTCCATTAATTCAGTTTGAGGTATTTAGGTATAAAGGGAAATGTAAAGACATAAAGAAATAAAGAATAGCAGATATTTTCGACTGTTTAGCCACTTACCAGAAAATTAATTTCCTGTAATTTCAAAAAGTGATCACTGCGGTTCCTCACTATTTGTTTTCTTGTAATCCATGTGAAAACCCTGTTGCTTAAAGGAAATTAGAACAGAAGATGATCATGAAAATTCAGAGAATTTGAATTTGAATGAAAATTCAAACAGAGAATTTGATCTTGAAAACCTTTTCCAGTTTGACTTTAACATTTTTGCTCCACTGACCCATATCTTAAATTGTATAATTCTCTCTTATATATACATTTGACAAAGGAAGGACTTAGTGAAATATTTGTATTTTTTTAAGTATAGAACTTTGTTTGAAGGGGGAACTACTTGTTGTAAAGGTTATTTGAAGTAGGAGGTCACAGAGCATGGAAATACTACAACAAATTAGTTAATTATGCTGGCTCCTTGCCAGGAAATACTACTGTAAAATTAACAGGAAAAGGGCTGGATCATGTTCCTCCAGCCTTCCGAGAATATTGTTTCTGAGGAATGCTAAAAGCAGCTTTTCAATAAATTTCAGGAATGGCAAGAGTGGCCAGACTTCATACTTGTAATTCTGAATTTCCAACTTTCACAATGGAAAATTTTTAGGTTGTTTCAATTCAGATCCTTATCTAAATATTAGTTTTAACAGTGAAATGCTTTTCATCTTTTATATTATTTTTAGCTTTCTGTTCCTAAGGAAAGTATCTGAATGGAGGATTGTGGACCCTTTTTCAGGGAACACACTTTGGTATTATTTGCATCTGATTTATTCTTCATAGAAAAAAACGAAATGCATAAGTGAATCAGTTTCTTTATCTCTCAACTGTAAGACTAGGAGTAAACAAAACCCCCAAAGCTTTCTATCCATTGCCATCTCTTCTTGAGCTCTTATGAGTCTAAATCCATTCTAATATGAAAAAGAAAGAAAAAAATTACAGATTTGTTTTTGGGAGCAACATCCATGTATCCAAGAACGATGCCTTCCTAAGCTGTAATCTTAAAAGAAGTCTTTAAACTTTAAAAAGAAATATTTTGGGAAGTTTCTCCATTTGTAGGAGTACTAAATGAAGGTAATAAGTCAGCTACTTTTCTGTTACCAGAGCATGACCCTACTCCTGTCTATTTACAACTCTTGTTTTACTGTGCTCTTACATTCAAGGAACCTTGGTCTTTTAATTTTTTTTCCTCCATTTAATAATCTTTCTCTGACTGCAAAGACTTGGAACATCCCCCTACATGGTGATTCTGCTTTTCTTTGGCTTATGAACTCCTGCACCATGTAACACAAAAGACATTTGCTTTCCAAGAGTAAAAAGAGATTGATGAATTGTAGTGTGAATTTCCTTATGAAGCAAAGTGCATTCCAAACATTTTTCCCATGACAAAAATGCTGGATTTTCATGCATAGACTCTGAATACACAGCATATATACACAGCATAATCCTGAATAGATCTTTGAGGACATAAATTTCTCCCATGACCTGATCTCTCCCTGTGTTCAAAAATTCTATTGCAGCAGGAAACTTGAAAAATATTGACAGTTCCAGTTAGCTACATAATTCTAAATGGAGACATTGCAGGCATAAAGGCATGTTATTTCTGATAAGAAGATATTAGGAATGATGGAACAGGAAACAATCCATCACCAAGACTCACTGAGCTTTTTCCTGCACTCTTATAATATACACGATACAGTTTTACATATAGCCCTTAAGACAGAATATTTTTCCTTTGGAAATTAATAAAAATCCCTTCCCAAAAGGGATTGTGGTCTCTCTGTACTTTCCATCAAGCAATAATTATTAAATTTTGTATTTTGCCCATTTTTAATGTTTAAAGTTGATTGAAAATCTCTCTGATAAAAAAAATATTCTCTCCACTTACTTCATTGAGTTAATACATGATTTATCTTGCTGCTGTTCCTGTCTCTTTCTCTCAGTGTGACAAAAATCTGAAACTGAGCTGTTCCCTTGTAAAAAGCGAGTGGACATCAGAATCCCAAATCAGGGAGAGGTTGAACCTTTATGGAAGATGGAAATCTTTGTCA